GCTGATTTGTTTTTTTACTGTAGTTTTACTTAACCTAAAGACACAGATCATTTGTGTTTTTTGTCTTGGAAATTATATGGCCCTTTGTATTATCAAGTTTTAAAACTCTTAGTTATAGAGATACAGCATGCTAAAGACATGGGGAACAGAACTTTGAGTACTGGGTGTATTTTAAACACTTAACTATCTTGGATTCAGTTATAATGGCCCTTGATTTAACCCAGTATATCCATAGAGAATAGATTCTCACTTACAATGACAATCTGGTCAAAGGGCTCACACCATTGTCTCACACAACAACATAACACAACTGCTAAGAAGCTCAAGTATCAAGCAGGAAAGATTAAATCATGCATTGCACTCTCAAGCACGATGTTGGACAGTTTTGGCTCATTTCATAGTCATGGGCAGAAGCAAACCGAAAGCAAGTTACGCCTACAGTCAGAAGTGGTTCTTGGGAGGTTCAGTTAGATAAAAGTACTACATTTTAAATTACTTAAAACTACAATAGATTCTAAAAACAGAAAGGTATTACTCGAATTAAAAATCTGTAAATTAACATGAACTAAAGAAACATTAATCCAGTTTGAAGAAAGGACCAATCAATGAAAGATAAATGTGGAGAGTGAGATAGGGATCGCTAGTGGTAAGTCCTATGGCAGAATGTTCTGAGACAATCAGGTTTCCCCAATAACACTAGAATTATAGCACATCTAAAGCAGTGTTGAGGACAAGCACTGGTTTTCACAAGCACAACCTACATCTTCACCTCTGTTACTGATCTTAGCTATATATTAGGCTAAAGGATCAGCTCCATGATTTAAGGTATATTTTTGGAGACACATTATGAAACTGCAGGACAAAACTCGGCCACTGGTAGTGTGAAGCAGTTCTAAATTTCATTGTCTCCTCTTTGTTATAAACACAGCAGACACCTACACACAACACCAACTACACAGTGTCAAAGTTACGCATAATACATCACAAGCCCTTGCCAAATCCCACTCAAGCATTTCTCAATTACCAGTCACGTCGGCATCAAACTATACTGTATACAATAAGGACTCACTCCCCTATTCACCACACTCTGTATTGGTTCACCAGAGAAGCTCTACTTCCCTGTTAAGACTCAGTATTGGTTCACCAGAGAATCTCTACTTCCCTGTTAAGCTCTAGTGCTGCGCTACCTGTTATCTGATGTTCTGGTTTCCCAATCTACGCCTGTCAAGACTTGATTTAAGGATCTGCGATTTGGATAAGTACTGCTATTTCTTCCTGTAACCACAGCCCTCAGACCAGCCCCAATTCAGCATAAGGCTTCACTTAAAGCTAGGTCACTTCCCCGTAACACACAGCCTACAAGTAGTCTTACAAGTAATCAAGCAATCTATAAGTGATCAGCAATAGTTTATACTGTTGGCCTATGGCCTACAATTTTGCACCCATCATTTTAGCATTGGACTGGCCAGGTATTATTGATGAGAAATTTGCTCTAACCATCTTTAAGGAAGATATAGCTTAGGAAAAGAAAAAGGCAAGCTGCTTGAACTCTCATCAGATGAAGGACAAATGAGTTCAACTGATGACTCTTTGCACTGCAATTTTTTAAATACCCCTGCTATCTGTATTTGCATTTTCCCCATGGGACCTGCTCCTTCAGGGGAATTATTAATTACCCACTTAAATCCATCCATCACCATTTATGCCGATGCGTGTCACAACGTAGATAGTATGAACTCCCATGTCAGATTAGACATAACATATGTGCCTGTTTACTGTATAAATTGCTCACAAAGCACCAATATACTGCTCATGAAAAACAGTTTAGAAAATGTATGAGCAATTCAAATTGGATTACATTCTCACTGTCCCCATAGTATTTGCATTAGCTTTAATGCTCGACCTCCACTACAAGGTAATGCACTGTATTTAGAGCTGTATTTACACAGAATGAAAAGAGTTGACAATGAAGCATCTTAACATATTCCTTCCAAATGAAATCAGTAGCACAGTACACCATTGCCACCTTCTACAATGTATTAGCAAATGTCTCATGAATGTTACATAGAATTGTATAAATGTTTTAATGAATAGCTGCCAAACTCACTTTCTGATTCTGAAGGACCAAACAAACTGGCCTTGCAAAGATTACTACAGCCTGATGATTAAATACCATACAACTATCTGACATACTATACACAAGGACCCAGCATGTGTCCACAGATATTCTTAACGGACAGCATTTCTGCTCCTATAAGACATATAACACAGCAGCTAAAGTATATACAGTATACTGGGGTCTAGGCTTCTGATCTATTTGATCAATGTCACAAGGTGTAGAATGTACATCAAGGCATGTCATGTTAAAATGCAATAACTGTAAAAGTCACTAGTAAGAATACTGTGCTTGACTTTAATTGTCACAACACAAAATAAGATATTGCTTTGTTCTGGAATGAGACAGATATGTTCTCGGCATCAAAGAAATTCTTAAAAAGAGCACTGTGTTACACAAAATGGTTTTGAGAGAGGTCATTTACTTAAAAGCTGAATTAAGGCTTAAATTGGTGACCAGGGTCAGGAAGCCAAAAAAATGCAGTATGATACAGTTTGAAACTAACATTTGCTTGGTGTGTTTAGTGAAACATGCAGACTTCAACACTTCCTGTGCTGTTCAATCGCTCTTCTAAGGTGCTTTCTGGGAGCCGCAATTATCACAGCCAGTCACAATTCCTGTGAATTCACAACTCCAATACATACCACTAAACAGTCAGCAGCACACAGAGCAGGGAAGGAAATAAAAGCCTCAGTGCTAATACTTCCATTCTCCAGGACGACTCAACAACCACTTTCTTCGCGTTAGAGGGGAAAACAGGCTAGACAGGCCTAATTAAACAGCAAATAAACAGACATATAAATAACTCTCCCTTTGCAGGGGCTCTAGGAAGAAGAAAACAAAAAAAAGAGAAATGAGTAAAAACTATCCCCTGTAAAGTCCCCTAAAGCGGTTTACCACGGTAATTCTGTAGCATCACCATTTCTTCCCAGTCTTTTTTTTTAATCTGATTTCCTCGACCAGAGTTTATGATGGCATCACACTCTCAATATTTCTAGTCAATGTTTCACCATACTGTAAAAAAGACACTGTCCTTTGGATGAGACATAAAACCATAGTCCCGACTCCCTGTGGTCATTAAAAATCCCAGGGCGTTTCACGGAAACGGGTGGGTGTATTAATCTGGTATCCTAATAATCCCACCTATGAACTGGGTTCATCACACTGTTCTCCTCCACACTGTTGTGTGTTGTGGGCTACCGAGTGGGGTGGTGTCCCCATTATCTGTAAAGCGCTTTCAGCAGAGTGTCCAGAAAAGCACTGTACTATAAGTGTTGTCCTATACGTATAAGTCTAAGGAATAATTAGTTATAATTATTATGTGGATACAATTTTAAGAATTTCCTTTAGGATTCATACCACAGTTTCAGCATGATTACAATAAATTATTCTGCCCTTCCATATGGTCTAGACCAGGGAACCACAGAGATGCATCCATATGATATTCATTTTATGCCTGAATAGAAAACAAGTTCCGAGATCACCACAGCACACTGCATGCTTAATAATGATTCTTGCATGCTGATGCATGTTTTTGTAAAATTGGACTCTAGTCTTTTATCTGATCCCGACACTGCAGAAATGAAACGTGTTTTTAAATAAGCTTTCGCACATAAGAAAATTGAAGTGGCCGCTGTTTTTCCACGCCATCGTGCTATTGCTTTTCTGTACCTCTCCTGTGCTTATTTCTGAAAGAGGCCACCTCATGGATCTAGAATCAGGAGAGTAGTGTTGCAGCATGACTCAAGGACTTGGCTCAATATGGCGAATTAATTTCTATGCATCCCAAATACGAAACAACTGCTAAAGTCTGTTAAAACTGCAATAGCCTGGGCTAGGTTTTAGCAATGTATGTTAAGCACCACTTCTGTCACAGATGGTCCCTCAGTTGTGATCCCATCAGAGTGTACTATAACAGCAGGACACTAGGAAACTGCAGGATAAGAGGAGCCCTGATTGCCAGGTTCACTTCACACATTAATGTAATGGCAAAAACTTGAAAGACTTGAGACGACTGCTCTTCCCGCCAACACCTGACTAGGACTGAACTGACTATACAGCAAAATATTAAAGCTAATCCAATGGCAAGTGTGGGTCTGTGGATAGAGACATGCACTCATCACAAGCCTGGGAAACTGCAAATAACCTCCTGCTGTATTTTAAGTGGAAACGACATTTGTTTTTGACACAGGGCTCATTATGTATAAGTGGCTTGTTACAGTGAAGGTCCTTGTTTTGGGCTTCTGAAATACAGTCATGCCCTAATGTTTAGGAACCAGGTGTTTCGGTGTAGAATGTTCAATATGATTACACCGTGGAGCTTGGGCTTTAGGAAGTGTTTTTTAAAACTTAGATTATGCCTGCATTCGTCAGTAGCTCATTTTAATAAGATTAATATATTTATTAGGAACTTAAACAACTTGAAGTTCAAACATTTAGCCTCACAGAGGCGCATATCAATTACCTATCAGGAGGTAATGTCAACATTAAGCTGCAATTCACAAAGCTGGCTGCCAATATTCATAATAGCCACAGCTGAGTCATTAAGAAAAGCTCTATTGAATTAAAACCAAGTCACTTTTCTGTACATAAAACTTGCTTATTTTATGTTCTTCACAAAGACACTAAAAATAAATAAGGACAGTATGATACTTTAAAAAAGGTTTTCATCTTCAGGAAACAATACCAACAAAGCTTTGAGATAGACGGTGTTTCGATACAACAGATGGCATTGGTATTTTATGTGACATTGTACGGCTTGTCTGATGAGTAGGCTCGGAACCAGAAGAATGACAAGCCTGGGATCTGTCTGTACCAGTAACAGGTCAGGAGGACTGCAGTAGTGGAGGAAAAGGAAAGGGTGTGGGGGGGATGAAATACTCACCGATTCTCAGAGAGAGTGGATTGCTAGCGATGTTTCTCACCCACATCGCTAAGAAGAGCAGAGGCGCCCAGGCTGTGAGCATCTTCTATAACTCCTCATGGGTCCTGCCCCGGGTGTCCCCCTGTCATAGCCACCTACACAGACAGACCACAATGACATCAGAGACACCCATACATACTAAGAAGAATTACATCAGAGCAATGTTTTCACACACATAAGACACAAAAGACACACAATTACATTACAGGCACCTGTGTCTTATCACACAAGATAAAAAAATGAAGCAGTCAGTACTACTGATTTCGGATCTATTAGAGACAGAGGAGGTAAATCCCATTCAGGGAGCAGGCAGGCAAGCAACAATAGTGATTAACTGCTTCTGTGTCATTACATGCAAAAGTAGTACAGTATACTTTATTGTTTATGGAGTAATTCCAACTTTTAGCCCTCAATTAAACTCTCTGAAGCCCTGAGGTGAAATAAGGTTGTTCTTTCACTATAGCTCCTCTGTTAACCCAGGAGTAGCTCAGATTTTAATCAAAATACTCTTACTAGAAGAATTCCTCTAAAACTAAAACACTCTCCTAAAGGTCTGTCCAGGAAATTCTGACAGGTTTCATCACTAGAGCAGAGTGGTACAAATAAGCATACTTTAGTAATGGCTGTAGAACTGTGCTGTTGAGTACTTAGTGTTTTCTTTTGATATGTCTGTTCCAATTTATCCTGCTGTAGTTTAATAGTAGTCCTGGGAATTATAGCCAAAAACACTGATTCGAATAATTTATTGAAAATCCATAAATAGACAAACATTTTTATTTCCCACTCCAATAGTGTACACTAAAAACAAAAGCGGTTTATATGCTACTTTAATTTCTACTCAAGAACTCTGGATCTAAGCTCTGAATCATTCATTCTTTAGTATTTAATTAAGTTATATTTTCTATTTTTCAGCAAGAACTGCTCCAAGATTCAATCTCGCCAATTGCCACTGAGGTCATTACCAGACAACCTGCCACTGCTAATAAGAGGAAAAAGCTCTTATCATAGAAGGAAAATTAAACGATAAAAACGCACACAAGCAGAACCTATTCATGTAATTTTAGTTAACACAGATTCATTCCAACCACTCTGCACAGACCCTTTTCAAGGTGTTCCACCCAGCAGAACAGCTAGCATGCTGTGCATGTTCAGACTGCAGGGCAGCAGAATCCCCTGCACTCAGTCAAGAGCATCACAAACCATCAAGGGAGCCAGCTGCACAGTGCAGTAACGCAAAACTGCAAATGGAAAAAAAAGCTACTGTACTTCTTTTAATGTTGTGTTAACATAAAAGAAGACAAGGGTGAAAACTGGCTACCATCTGGATTCACTGCACTGACAATGGAGATTACAGCAATTACATTTAGTATATTTCAGATTTCACAGGCATAGGCTACAAAACAGAAAGTTTCTTCCTACAAGATTAGTTTTTTGTATTTTATTTAGTCAATTTTTATCCTCAACAAAAAGAATTTGTATTTTTTAACTGAGAAAATGGTTTAGTTTTCTATTTATTCTTCAGTGGTTCTGCTGAAAGCAGAGATGAATGATGCTGAAGAATAGTTTTAGTACAGACCAATAGATACGGATAGCCTCCATTATCTAAGCAGTCATGCTCACCATGCATGCCAGGTAATCCTTTCTCAGAAAACTAAAGAAATAACTACACAGAAATGGCTAACAAGTAAATTACCCAACTGAAACCCACCCTCGTACAACAGAGAAACCAGTCACCAATCATTAAGGAAATTTTAATCTGGAACATAAAAGGAAGATACAAAGAGCTGTAAACTCGATTTTGAATTTCTACATTTGACATCAGCATTACTACTTTAATAGGACAGATCTAATTAAATCTCAGATGCTAAGCAAGCTGGGACCTAGTGAGTACTGGAAAATGACCTCTAAAGAAAATCAGGCCACTGCTCTACATTTTCCAAACCATTTACCTGCATTTAATGTTTCTTTTCCATACAAACTAAAAAAAAAATAAGCAGAGCTGTTTACTCCTGGATTTTTAATAGAATATTTTTTTTCTATTTAAACAAGCAGTGAAACTTGTTGCTAGGCTCCGAGTGCTAAAGCCATTCATGCATTTTTTCCTCCCAGAAGACAAAAAATGGAAATTGCATTTTACTGAACAATTTAATACATTAAATTACAAAGAAGGGTACAAAATTACAATAAAAGTGCCATAATAAATTTTAGCCCCTCTGCTGTTAGCATAATTCAATTGAGCCAAACCTAAGTTAACGAATAAGAGATCTGTGCAGGAATTTCTTCTTCAGGGACTGTAGGCTAACTGCGGTTTTCAGTCTCTTATGACTTGGTGGTAGCTGAACAAGTATATGCTCTTCCATTTGCTTATTTGTTGGCTAGGATTTTGAAAACTTTCCAGACTGGCAGAAGGCCTTAAATACACAACCGTTTCTTCATGAGCCACAGAATCCAGTTTCAGAAAGTGATATGATTGATTAATCTGAAACTGGAACTAAATCTCCCCTTTAAAAGAGGATTAGCAAGCATTTTTATATGAGCTTAAGAACACTAATTTTCTCAAGTGAATTTATTGCTGAGGTGGTAACAGAGCAGACAAACAGTACTTATGAGTTGGACAAGTTAAATTATGCCAACCTTAGAAAAGAGAAATGGCAGTTTTACCCCATGGTGACACCAAGATTACATTGTTCTACATATTGTTTGCTAGTTAGAGTTTGGACCTTGCTTACCAAATTACTATCAGGTGCTCTGATATCCTTGGAAACTTGCAAGAACCAACAACCAAGGGACTGGAGCTGCCTATCCCTTGACAAGGCTGGAGAAGGAGGAATAAAGTTCCTTGGGATTAAAATTTAGCTGAATGGCACAGGTAGAAATGCTAATACAGAGATCAGGCTTCCTTGTCCTTCCGGATGCACCCAAAGGCAGCCTGTATTATCCACCTTGATCCAGGAATCTGTACAGAGCCCGAGGACAGTAATTGACACTGTATAAATGTTTCTTTTTATCATTACTAGGGACTGCCAGAAAGAGATCAATGAACATTTAGGGCCATAAAACAGAGACATGAAGTACAAAGCAAATGACCTTGCTCAGCAGTGGGGCATTGGCAATTAATCTCGTATTGTAAGTGTACAAAGCATTTCCAACATGGGAAAGGTATCCCCTATTGAATGATGTTCAGAGTCCTTGGCAACTACTGGCCAAAGAAATCTGAAGCATCTATCTCAATGTGCCAAGTGACATCTCTGGACCTGAAACATATTTATAGCACATAAACATAGTGCAGTTCATGTTTGCAGAAAGCAAAGCATTACTTAATTGTAAACATCTCACTGCATCTCATCTTATTTAGTTTTCAAAGGAAATAGTTAGACACACATAAAACAAGGTCTTTTAACTTTTGCACAGCAAGTTAATCCTTGCAATGTTTAAAAAATTAATGGGTGGCAGACAGAATAGTTGTTAGTTGTTTGCTACTGTATGCTGTAATCAATGTGTCACCATTAGATTTAAAATACGCAGGTGTGTTGCAGTTGTAGTCCTGAAACAGGAGCTTAGAGACTCATGAAGATCTTCAGAGAGTCCAAAAGCAATTCAGAAAAACCCTTTAAGCTATTCATCCAGTATACAAAAAAACAGCTGTTTTGCAAAGCCTCACTTTATCTGCAGATTACACAAATGCATTTGGCTGATGCTCTGAGAGTTTAGAGCTGTCATTGGTTTCAATGTGCAGCACATTGCTTTCCCTTTGTCTTTAGAGACAACATTGTTCTTTAAAGCTGAAAAAAGAAACACTGAAGCTCGCTGTGATTTTCACACTCCCCTACAACATAATCCATTTTACTACATCATTACTAATCACACAGGGTGCACTTTTCAAGTCGGGGTGATGGAGGGGCCGCTGCCAATGAATGCACTTCAATGAAAAGTGGTTCCCAGATTGAAGCAACCTCAGTGCCTGCACATTAATTAAATGCTCTCATTGATCTTCATGACTAAGTGACACCCACCAAATGTAATAGAAATCTAATCAATGTGCATGCTTTGCTAGATCATAAATGAATGGAAGTATAACAAAATAAAATAAAACCAAAAAAGAGAAATGGCAGGTTTACCACAGTGACATCAAGATTACATTGTCCCACACATGTTTTGCTGGCTCCAGGAACCATGCTTGACTTACATTGCACAACAATATTACAGTAACAGTATACACATCTTATCAAAAGCAATTCCAACGCTTGAATTTCTTATTAAACACACTTAGACATAAAAACTCAAGCTAAGAAAAGTTATCCCACCATTCACTGTGTAGTCCTACAGTATTTATTTGCTCACAAATTTATTAAATGCTTAATTCAGCTTGAACAACTTTGTCTCATTAGGGTCACAAAGAACATTTTGCAATATGGTGCAAAAACAATGATTTAGCGAAGAACTTCATGGACAGGACTCAGTGGCATAAAAAACCTCTTTGTAGTTAGAAGAAACTTAATTAAAATCAGGTTTTCCCCAAAGTCTCATTTCGCAATTGATGATATCTAAAAAATCAGCACTATGAAGAGCTAAAAAGGTACATCAAAACAAGATACCATCCTCATTTTTTTTCTCTTAGCTGAGAACACTGATTCCAAACTCAAGTTCTTTAAACGTGTCTAAATTACTCAAATTATCGATACTCATTCTCACAGACACTGCAATTCTTTGTAATCAAATAACTGGATCACGCAGACAAAAGCAACCTTTTAAGGAAAGGCCTTTCAAAGATTCTGAAATGGGATCAGAATGTACTTGCAAGTGAAGATAGCTGTTAAAGATCTAAGTGTTGTTTTTTACAAATAGGCACTAATAAGATTTATACCCCACATGGAGCTTGGAAGTGTGAGACAATTTACCCTTTTGGCTTCACAGTAATTTTTTACAAGGATATGTGATTTACGTTACATGCATTTCCTGCCACTGGAACATCAACTGCTATGTTGCAGTGGAAAGGTAGATAATGTTGAAGAGGCTGACCACATTCCCCACAGAACCGAGGAAGCGAAGTAGATGCCATGGGAACGAGCAGGCCGAAAGCAGTGGTAACGGCACT